TCACATGTTCAATCCGTTTCACCTTGAAGTCTATTAATATTAGCTTTTATGACCACATAGATCTAAGTATCTCTTCAAATAATAGTATTTTACCACATTCGTACAATGCCATTAGTCCCAAACTAAGCAGATCTTGTACTCTGGGTACTAGACAACTACTATAAACACATATATCCTTTTTTTGTAAATATATACATTTATACATAGGAACATCAAGCCATATCAAACTTTAAATGTTTATACACAAAAATGTTTAACTTGAGCGGGATCGAATCCGCGACCTTTGGCGTGGCAGTCTGTTACACAAAACGATACGCCATCCGGTCGTCATATATTAAGACATGGGACAAATAAAAAAATAAGGTGATTATCAATTAGTGTTTGAAACTCAGACTCGATTGCTTCATCTAAATGTTTGTCGGAATAGTGCTAGATATATGTGTTGAGTGGACCTGTTGATCTCGTGGAAACAATCCTGACTGCTAAACCACAGGACAAATATTGGGGCACATCATTTCTTTTGTGTCTGTTTGTAATTTATACACAAATATTATTTACTAGCATTTGCCCGCGACTCCGTCCGCGTATATATCGGTTATCGCGCTAAAATGTAGCCTATGTTACTCCCTGATAATTTAGCTTTCCACTGGTGAAAGAATTTTTAAAATTGGTTTCGTGGTTGAGGCGTGAAAGCATAACAAACAAACAAACTCCCTTTCACATTGATAAGATGAGTATGGAATAAGATGTATTTAAAAATATATAAGTACGTTAATTCGGAAATTTGTGTGCCTGGTTGACAACAATAGGTCATATTTCTTATATCGGCTGGCCAGCGTGGTATAATAGGTTAAAACCTCCTTTCTAAGGAGAGGCCTATGTCCAACAGTGGAGTATTAAAGGCTGTTGATGACTTAAGTAGTACTTAAGTTATAATCAGAAAAATATACATTTAATAAACCCCTGTCTACCCCTCCGGAGATAAAAATGTGAGCGTCTGTATGTTGTTGTGTTATTTATTTATTTACACTTCCTGCAAATTAATTGGATAAGATGGGATTCATGCCATAGGCTTCTTCCTATTGGCCTGGAAAGTGTTCACCGAGTTCTAGATGTTTTGCACATTATCATTATCGTCTCAATGGCTGCTGGCCTTTTTTTACGTGTGGAAACCCCCCTCGTGTCGTCAGCCCACCGGGGTTTGCGGCGGGGTAATGTGTCGGAATCGGACCGACTAAAACCACTGCGCCTGTAATGGGCCCTCCGGGAACTGCTGTTATTGAGACATCCGGACCCTTCCTCCTTCCCTTCGGAGTCCGTGTGGTGACGGATTAAGAATACGTAATGTCACTACCCCTA